GGCAGGGAGCCGTGACAGGATCGAGAGGTGAGCGAACGCCGGTATGTGTTCCCTCACCTCCCGATCTACTAAGCCGACCTGTGACAGTCTCATTGTCACAGGTCGGCTAGAACTATGAGGCTGAGTGGAAAGCACCTCCCCCCTCATAGTTCTCCTATAATGCGATCTTCTTCTTTCCTGTCGTTTTCAGCCTTCTCTCCAGCGCTGCTTTTTTGTTTTTGCATACATCTACTGCTTGCTAGCCACATATATATGCAAAAACACCGGAGGGTTTGGAAACCGTCTAACGCACGCATCTTGAATGTGCGTTATTGTGTTCCATTAGGGCTAGTTCACACCGGACGCAGTTGTGATGCAGTCCGTTCAGTTTGGCAGCTGCATCAAATATGCATCACAGTACTTTCCTATGGGATTTTCTGATGCTCTGTTCACACCAGTGAAAAAATACTGCCTGCCCTATTTTAGCTACAGCGGATGGCAACGGAACGCATCAAAACACATCACAAACGCAACGGAACGCATCAAAACACATCACAAACGCAACAGAACGCATCAAAACACATCACAAACGCAACGGAACGCATCAAAACACATCACAAATGCAACGGAACACATCAAAACACATCACAAACGCAACGGAACGCATCAAAACACATCACAAACGCAACGGAACGTATCAAAACACATCACAAACGCAACGGAACGCATCAAAACACATCACAAACGCAACAGAACGCATCCAAAATGAAGAAGAAAAAAAAGCAAAATTGGAAGTGCTCCGACAGGAAGAAGGAAGTGACCTAATGGTCTGATTTGCATATGAAAAAATTGGATTGCATCAAAATCGCGTTGAAAATGTGCACACAGTTGTGATGCAGTGCTGGTGTGAACTAGCCCTTCTGGGCCCCAAATTCAGCAAGAGGACTCTAGAAGGAAGGCGGTACTGAGGGGAGTCAGAAGACTCCTTATAGCTCAGGGAACATGAGTGCATTTCTCTGGTCCGGTGCTCTGTATTTCTATAGAGTGGCTGTAAATAAAAAGCAGACGGCGCGCTTTCTCCCCATAGCGCATTTCAGCCTTAGCGTCTATTGAAGTAATCACATGACAAAAGGGGCGGGGCTTTACAAAAGGGCATCATCAGGACGCCATCAAACAGTCCTGCCAACAGTGATGGGCTGAAGGTGCCCGCTTCAAGTACAAGTACTTCCCCTCATGTACTTGCCGATACCAATTACCGATACTTTTTCTTAAAGGGACAGGTGACTTTTAAAAAAAAACAATAGACTGGTGGTGTGCGATTCCATGACCGCCCAGCCATCTGCTCGGTTTTGTGCATGATGACCGCCACCACCATGGCGGTCATCAATGGCGCTGGCAGTGCCATTATTTTCTAATGGCACCCCAGTTGTGCCAGGCAGATTGTGCGGTTTCCCGCCGCAATACCCTGCCCGTGCGGGTACCAGTTTTTTAAGACCAAGTACAAATGTCACAAAGGTGACATTTTATTCTAAAACAACACAGACTGATGATTTTAGGGCAGTTTCTCACCAGGACTAAATACGGATGTCGCCAGAACTGGACACATGTCCCCAAAAGCAGAACACATGTCCCCAAAGCAGAACACATGTCCCCAAAGCAGAACACATGTCCCTAAGGCAGAATAGTATTCCTCTTTGGGGACAAAGCAGAATTCCTCTCACCAGGCTGCGCGTCGATCTCGCCGGGCGACGTGGACATCTGCAGCGGCTCTGCGGGCATTCCACCTCACCGGCGATGTCGAGACCCGGCCTCCCCCCACGTCCAGTCCGGCCGACTCTCTGCGCTGCTGGGCTCTGCTTTCCTCCATCTCCCGGCTCGGTTCTCCCCGTCAGTGTGCGGCAGAAACCCCAGCTTCTAGCACTGGGGCGGTGGTTGTCTATGGCAGTGCCTGTGCCGGGAAGGAGGAGATAAAGAACCGGACAGGCACTGCTATGGGCAGCTATCTGCAGGTCCCCAGCAGGCTGCCGAGGTCCCCACAAGCGCGGGAACTCGGACGGCCGCTGCTATTTGAAAATTTAAAGGGCCGGTATCGGCCTTAAGAATCGGGGCATTTTCACAAGTACAAAAATGCCTGGTATCAGCCCCGATACTGTTATCGGTATCAGGGCATCCCTAATATATATTTTTATATATATATAAACTCACTGGCCGCTTTATTAGGTACACCTCTTCAACACAAATATCTAATCAGCCAATAACATGGCAGCAACTCAGTGCCTATTAGGCATCTAGACACAGTGAAGACGACTTGCTGAAGTTCAAACCGAGCATTAGAATGGGGAAGAAAGTGGATTGAAGTGACTTTGAACGTGACATGGTTGTTGGTGCTGATCTCCTGGGATTTTCACGCACAACCATATTTCGGGTTTACAGATAATGGTCCGAAAAAGAGAAAATCTCCAGTGAGCGGCAGTTGTGAGGAGGAAAATGCCTTGTTGAGGTCAGAGGTCAGAGAAGAATGGGCAGACTGGTTAGAGATGACAGAGCGGCAACAAGTAACTCAAATAACCCCTCGTTACATCTGAGGTATGCAGAATACCGTCTCTGAGCGCACAACACGTCCAACCTTGAATCAGATGGGCTACAGCAGCAGAAGACCACACCGGGTGCCACTCCTGTCAGCTAAGAACAGGAACTGGAGGCTACAACTCGCACAGGCGAAGATTGGAAAAACGTTGACTGGTCTCATGAGTCTCCATTTCAGTTGCGACATTCGGATGGTCGGGTCAGAATTTGGGGTAAACAAAGCATGGATCCACTCTGCCTCGTATCAACGGTTCCGGCTGGTGGAGTTTCGGATCGTGGATGTGCAGCCGACAAATCCGCAGCAACTGCGCAATGCTCTTATGTCAGTACGGACCAAACTCTCTGAGGAATGTTCCCAGCACCTTGTTGGATCAATGCCACGAAGAATTTAAAGCAGTTCTGAAGACAAAAGGGGTCCGACCCGGTACTAGCAAGGTGTACCTAAGAAAGTGGCCAGTGGGTGTATATATCTATCAGTATTGCTTGTTGTATGTATATGGCATCTATCCCAGCTTGCCTGTATACAGTGCTATGTACGGCACACAACATTCTTCTTGTATACATCTAGTTTTTGGCTTGTATCGGGTCGGTTCCATCTCTTCACCTTCACTAAGCGAACAAATAATGTATTCTTTCCTAAAACAAAAGAATGAATGTGGACACACATTGCCGCCCTCATCCATGCATCTTGGGTCCCCTCTGACCTGCAGAACAGACTTTTGACACAAGAGGGCGCCCCAGAATAAGTGGAGCATCCATATAGTGTAACATGTTACGCAGCCTTTCCCAACCTTATTACCCCAGGAGAAAGCTTGAAATGAGTCTCAGGGAACCTCTGCCAAGGTTAGGTCATTGGGGGTTGTTGGGAAAATTCCCCTTATATTAGTGGTCAGTGGCTACAATTGGTGGTCAGTGGTTAGAATGCCCCCCTTACATTGGTGATCAGTGGTTAGAATACAACCATTACATTGGCGGTCAATGATTAGAAATCAATCCTTACATTGGTGGTCAGTGTGGTTAGAATGGTTAGTGTGGTTAGAATGCCCCCCTTACAGTGGTGATCAGTGGTTAGAATGCCCCCCTTACATTGGTGGTCAGTGGTTAGAATGCCCCCCTTACATTGGTGGTCAGTGGTTAGAATGCCCCCCTTACATTGGTGGTCAGTGGTTAGAATGCCCCCCTTACATTGGTGGTCAGTGGTTAGAATGCCCCCCTTACATTGGTGGTCAGTGGTTAGAATGCCCCCCTTACATTGGTGGTCAGTGGTTAGAATGCCCCCCTTACATTGGTGGTCAGTGGTTAGAATGCCCCCCTTACATTGGTGGTCAGTGGTTAGAATGCCCCCCTTACAGTGGTTAGAATGCCCCCCTTACATTGGTGGTCAGTGGTTAGAATGCCCCCCTTACATTGGTGATCAGTGGTTAGAATGCCCTAGAATGGCTCAAGGACCCCCCTAGCACCCTCTGGAGGGTCCCTGGCTGAGAACGGCTGCTCCGATGTAATGTAAGAATCATAATGTCTCTTATAAGTCAATATCACTGAGCTTCTCAGGAGAAGAGCTTTCCGTGTCATATCCACGATACACAAAGCACCAGCGATACATTGCGCCCCGTGCAGGAAGGTCCACCACACACACGTCTCATCACTGTGTCCCTGGCGGGTTTTGGTAGTCCTCCGGCAGTCCGTAGGAGAACTGAACGTGTCGCTCATTGGACAGGAACTTAACTCCATGGGCGAGGCAGCATGTCCATAACTGCAGCAGAGAAGGAGGAGAAGAGAATTATACAAATTATACTAAAAACAGTACAGACTCCGGAAATAAGGAGCAACCTCAGGGGGAATAAAAGGTACATTTGGTTGGAAAATGTTTGTTTTTGTTTTGTTGGACTTCTATGTGCCGGGCAATAGTGGAACAATCGCCATAGCGACCCAGGCGGTTGCTATGGGGCCTATGGCACAGGGGGGCCCGGCCAGGACATCCATCTGATGCCGTGCGGGCCGCCTGGGTCTCTATGGCATCTCAGGCTGATGGCTGTCACTTTGCGGCTGCGAGGAGGAATGCACCGCTATTCACATCACTGACAACCTGGGGCCCTGTGATTTCTAGTTACGCCCACCTGATAACACAAAAAGCCCACCTGAGACCCTGCAGAGCCCACCATAGACAGTCTATGGTGGGCTCTGCAGGGTCATCCTCAGGTGGGCTTTTTGTGTTATCAGGTGGGCGTAACTAGAAATCACAGGGCCCCATACAAAATGTTGCTATGGGGCCCTGTGGTTTCTAGTTACGCTCCTGGTGCCGTGTAATCCAAAACTTTACAGTTGTCACTCGAACAGGAATAGAGGAGAACACTACCCATGGGGACACCTTCTCATTGGGGATTTCCCTCACTTGGAAGGGATTTCCTCTCACTTCCTGTTATGTCTCTGTGATAGGAAATGATGGGAAATATCCCCAAGGGGGACACAGGCACCAAAAAAGTCAATAAAAACCTGACTGGTTTAACCCTTTCCTACAGTACCAAAAAAATGTATCATTCTTTGAAGTAGAACTATGGTGGCCTTCCATTAAAATATATGTATTGCAGCACTTAATTATTAGTCCATCTGCATATACAGAGGCATCTCCATGGCATGTGTCAGCCATTGCGGCTGCCAGGTGTCACCCGGTGGCACGTCATTACACATGTGCATAATGGCACGCGCACTTAGAGAACTATGAGGTGAGTGCTTTTCACTCACCTCATAGTTCTAGCCGACCTGTGACAATGAGACTGTCACAGGTCGGCTCAGTAGATCGGGAGGTGAGCGAACACATACCGGCGTTCACTCACTTCTCGTTCCTGTCACGGCTCTCTGCCGTGACAGGGGAGGGGCTGGATTCTCCCCTCCCCACTCCGATCCTCCAGCGCTGACTGGCGGACGGGGGAGGGGGAGGGCACAGCTGGCTCTGCTTCTAGATAGGCAGAGCCAGCTATCAGTCACGCAGCTGGGCGGATCCCGGCATAATTGTCGGGATCCGCTTCAGCTGCGGCGTCTCAGTATACCGCGAGCAGCAGCTTGCGCTATACTGCGGCGTCTTAGTATACCGTGAGTTGTAGCTCGCGGTATACTGAGCTTAGGGTGACGGGAGAACGCTAGTTTGTGTCCTCCCGTTACCCTACGGAGAACAAAGGGGAAAAGCCCTGACCCCATAGTTCTCCTTTAACTGCCGGTGGCCATCTTGATAATGGACGCCAGCAAAGAGAGGAGGGGACATTCATCCGGCGGGATAAGGTATGCCCCCTCCTCTCTCGTGCAGCTGTCGGGCTCTTGGTCTGTGATTGAGTGCCTGACTTTTCAGAGGGAGGTGACAGCAAAATGACTGCCAGTCATTTTGGTGTAACACCCTCTGATGGTGTCACCTAGTGCGGGCGGCACCCCCTTTGTGACACCACTGTGCAAATACAGTTTTCTCATAGTCCTCCGGCAAAGTCCCACAAACCCCTCTTGATCCTGCCAGTGGCCAGCAAATGCAGCTTCCTGTGATGGGGTGACAACGATGCTGCACTGCTCCTGAATTCGGAGCAGAGTTGCCACACTCGTGTGAGATGGGGCTGCTTGCACTACGGTAAGATGAGAAGGCGTTGCAGGGGGCGTGGCTATGAACATTGCCACTGCTGATTCACAAGCCAGTAGCTTGTAAATCAGCACCCAGCCACACGTAGTCCCGCCCAGGGGCGTCCCGAGGCTGAGTGTCACCGGGAGCGGATACCGGGTGACACCCCCGCCGTGACAACATCGCGCATGTGCCGTCATCTTATTGATACCTGCTGGCGGCCATCTTGGTGATGGACGCGGGCAGAGAGAGGAGGGGACGTTCACCCGGCGGCATACCTTGTCCCCTCCTCCTCCTCTCTCCTGCCACTGTTGGGCTCTCAGTCTATGACCGAGTGCCCGACTTTGCAAGGGGGTGACACCAAAATGATTGTCAGTCATTTTGGTGTCACCCCTTCAATGGTGTCACCCAGGTGGACCCAGGCGGACCCCCCACTGCCCCCTTGTGACACCACTGGTCCCGCCCACTGCTTTCTGGATTGACAGCTCCGCCTCTGTAGTTTGAACCCTCCCAACGTAAGCTGCAGTGTCTGGGAGGGGGAGCATGTGAGACACAAATTAAGGATTTGGCTCAGTCAGGGAAGGTATAGAGAGTTGTTTTTACAAATGAGGCTTGTGAGGGGTAACAGGGATGGAGTTCTGCTGTAACTTAGAAGCAACAAAACTGGGTAGGGTAGCAGGTAAACACCCTTTGGGTTGGGCCAAGTTGTGCCTACAAAACAGTTGCAGATCACATGTGGCATTTGGGAAGCAGACCCCTGTAGGTCTTTCTTGTACTTACCAGGTAAAATGTGAAGACGGCATAAAATAACAGAATGAATCCAGCGAGCACATACAGGCCGATGTGCTGCAGTTTCGGGATGTAAACCACCACAAAATACAAGTTTATGGCGATGATTAGCGCAGTGAGCAAGATGGCGACCACTTTACCGACTCTGCGGGGAGGAAAAATGCAAATGAGCGATGAAGAAGACACAGTCAAGCCCCACCCAGATTCAGCAAGCCCTGCCCACTCCAACACAGACATGTCCATATATGGAATAAGACACATCGAAATGAATTTCATTAAGAATCACGTCGGCGGAGGTTCCAGTCACATGCTGCGTTATTCATTTCAATGCACGCAGCAGCGTTACAATGATAAATGTGCTTAGGGTTGCCACCTATCCCGGATTCACCTGGGCAGTCCAGGTTTTGAGTCCTGTATGTGCTGTTTCAGGCCAGCTGGAACCCACACACAGCACATACAGGATTCTAAACCTGGACTGCCCAGGTGAATCCGGGATAGGTGACAACCCTAAATGTGCTATGGTCAAGAATATAGCTGCAGCTCCAGCCAGGCCCAGATTTCCCACAAGGCCACCGAGGCCCGGCCTCGGGGCGGCAGGGCGGCAGCGCTGTCCTTGTGGGGAAGTTCCGGGCGTCGGGCTGTAAGTTGCTCTCTCTACATTTAGTCCTGCTTTGCACAAGCAGGACTAAATGTAGAGTGAGGGAAGCCGATTGTTCGTTTACATGTGAACTCGGCGATGTCGCCGAGATCACATGTAAAAAGTCTGCAGCCTCCTCCCCTCCCCCCGGCACTTACCTCTCTCCTCTGGTTCCGTCCTTCGGGCTCCGGTGCCAAGTCTCTCCTCACTGCAGCGAGCAGAGCGGCCGGGTTAAAAGTAACCCTGCCGCTCCATGTACATAGTGAGAGGGGAGAGCTGTGCTGTGCTAAAACTGCTGTATTGGAGGTGACAGGGTCAATAAAGAGAACCCGTCACCTCCAATTGCTATCACACAGTACCTGGCCTTGGGGCGGCAGGGAGAGTGAATCCGGCCCTGGCTCCAGCACACCTGAACAGGGCATGCCGAGTCTGAAGCGCAGTGCAACCCAATGCAAAGCAGGCCAACCGCAGCCTCTGAGCTGCCATGTGCACTGCTGAAAAAAAAGCCATTGGGATTTTGCTTTTGACCTCCATTCTAAACGCACAATAAACGCAGGAAAACGACGCCCGTTATGTGATCAAACCCCCCTTATATACATACATGCCGTTGGTGAAATCGTGCATCAGAGGTCGCATGCTGGTAAAGGTCAGGACCGGGAGGAGGGCGAAGGGCAGCTGCAGAAAAGGATTAATAAAAGGATGTTATTATGTCAGGGAAAATATACAAATATAAGACATATATAGAAACAAACATCTCTTTACAGAATTGTACTTCAGCTTTGTCGGCAATCTGTACTTAAAGTGACATTAAAGTCAAAAAATGTTTCCCCTCCCCCCAATGTTAGTGTTAGCACTTACCTTAAATGATGTCTCTTAATCCGATCTTCTTCTTCTTTCCTGTCCTTTTTCATCTGTCTCTCCAGAGCTGCGGCGGGTCTCCGATCCAGCGCTGACTCCTCTGTGCTTGCTGGCACTTCCTGCCCCACGGTGTCTGCATGCGGGTGCACGCCGTCCATAGACTTACCTTGCGTCTCTCCTCGTCTCCCGGCCGAAAATCCGAACTGCGCATGGGACCGCCCCAGGATGCTTTGCGGCCTCCCGAGCAGTTTTGAACTTTCTGACGGGAGCACACGGCGAAGACAGCAAAAAACAAAAACAAAAAAAACGGAGGGTTTAGAAACCCTTTAAAGCTAAAATCTGTTAATTAATTAAAAAAAAAAAAAAAATTGCAAAAAATAATAACTTTGCAAAGCTTGGTCCTAGAATTGTAATTGTAAAGTCCCTATAAATTAAATTTTATTTAATCTACAGTAATACTGTTTTGTTTTTTTTAAACAGCACTGATCAAATTAGAAAAAGTTTTATTTTTTTAGGGTTTTTTTTTAACTTTTTTTTATAGATTGCACAGTGAATAAATTAATTTTTTAAGACAATATCACCAAAAAATAAATAAAAATCTTATTTGCCCGAAGAAAAATAAAAAGTATTACCTTGTTATCTAAAGTAATGACAAAGTAAAAGCAAAAATGTAAAAAATGCTCTGGTCCGTAAGAGATGTACAGGTGTGAGAGCTGAAGTGGTTAAACAACTTAAAGTGACACTAAACTCAGGAGTTACATCATAAAAATGAATTGAAGTACCTTCACTATTAACCAAAATGTATTTTATTTGTGTACAGGGACCATGAGGAACACAAGTAGCCCCCCTCCATCCCAGCTGCGTGAGTGACAGCTGGCTCTGCCTATCTAGAGGCAGAGCCAGCTGTAACCGCCCCCCTCCCCCGTCCGTTCCGCCAGTCAGCCCTGGAGGATCGAACAGGGGAGGGGGGAATCCAGTCCCTCCCCTGTCACGGCTCACCTGCGGGGATAGATCGAGAAGTGAGCGAGCGGCGGAATGTGTTCACTCACCTCCCGATCTACTGAGCCGACCTGTGACAGTCTCATTGTCACACGTCGGCTCAGATTATGAGGCTGAGTAATTCTCATAATTCTCCTTTAACTCCGGAGTTTAGTGTCACTTTTGGGTTTGGATACACTTTGGGGTCTATTTATACTCTCCATAGCTATACGTCCAGTGAAACTGCATGCACATTCCCCGTAGTATTAAAGTGTTATTAAACCCTCTGTTTTTTTGCATATTTCTACTGCCTTTTATATTTTACCAAAAAATTGGGTAATAATAAATGTTTTATAATTTAATATAGGGGGAAACAGTTTTTTTGTTTTTTTTAATTCTCGGTACTTTTTCCTTGATATAGTAAAAAATAAAACCCCCTCCCCCCAGTGGTGATTAAATACCACCAAAAAAGAAAGCTCTAACTGTCCCTAAAAAATGCTATAAAATTCATTTCAGTACAGCGTTGTATGACGTAATAAATGTCAGTCAAAGTACCGCAGCGCTGAACACTGAAAAATGGCCGGGACAGGAAGGGGCTGTAACACCGCAGACTTCAAGTGGTTACTTAGTTACATAGTTACATAGTATTTGAGGTTGAATAAAGACATTAGTCCATCAAGTCCAACCTATTAGGATCTCATTCTAGGAGTACCTGTACCCCTGTATATTACCCGTACCCCTGTATATTACCTGTACCCCTGTATATTACGGTCCCTTAAGAAATCATCCAAAAGTTTCTTGAACAATTCCACATTATTTGCTGAAATCACCGCCTGTGGCAGTGAGTTCCAGACCCTAACTGATCTTACTGTGAAGAACCCTCTTCGCCCCTTGTGCTGGAATTTTTTTTCCACCAATTTTAGGTGTTGGCCTCTAGTTTTTGTAATGGAGTTAATTTTAACAGTTTATCGCTAATGTTGCTACCACCATTGAACATTTTGTACATGGAGAATCATATCCCCCCTTAATCTCCTCACCTCTAATGTGAACATGTTTAAATTTAGTAGCCTTGTCTCGTAGCTCTGGTCCTCCATACCCCTAATTAGTTTGGTTGCCCTCCGCTGGACTTTTTCCAACTCAAGGACATCTTTTCTTAGTACTGGTGACCAGAACTGGACCGCGTACTCCAGATGAGGTCGAACCAATGATCTATAAAGTGGCAAAATTATAGACTTGTCCCTGCAATACATCCCCTTTTTAATACAGGACAAGACCCTGCTAGCTTTGTTTACAGCAGCCTGGCACTGCAAACTACCTTTCAGTTTGTGGTCTACAATGACCCCCAAATCCTTCTCCATTTCTGACTTCCCCAGCGGCATACCCATAATTGTATAACCCATTTGTTTATTTTTATTTCCAAAGAGCATTACTTTGCATTTATCGACATTAAACCTCATCTGCCACATTAATGCCCATCCCCCTATTTTATCCAGGTCCTCCTGTAATGTTATAGTGTCTAAGTCCGTGTCTATTACCCTCCCTATTTTGGTGTCATCCGCAAACACGGAAATATCGCTGTTAACACCCTCCCCGATGTCATTAATAAATAAGTTGAACAATATGGGACCCAGCACAGAACCCTGAGGCACACCGCTCATTACACTAGCCCAGTCTGAAAAGGTGCCATTTACAGATACCCTCTGGACCCGTTCCCATAGCCAGTTCTCTATCCACGTTCACACCACCTCATCTATGCCCATAGCTCTCAGCTTGTGTAGCAAGCGCTTGTGTGGTACCGTATAAAATGCCTTTGCGAAATCCAGATATACCACATCCACCGGCTTACCTCCGTCCATATCTATACTTACCCCCTCATAAAAAGTTAGCAAGTTAGTTAGGCAGGTTAAAATGGTTAAAGTCCATTTAATTTTAAAAAAAATTGCAGAGCTTTTGATCTAGTAAAACCGCTCGGTACATTCCCTGTAGTATCAATGGTTACATTTGCTTCCCAATTCCCTCCGGTGTTCTCTAGAATTGTTACATTGAGCCTCTTGTTTACTAAAATGGATTTATTTCCTATGATCCTCGGCGCCCTCTGGTGGCCATAATGTGGTATTTCCCCCTTCACGCTATGTTCCTTAAAAATTGACCTTTTTTTTACTGCCCATAATATTCAGAGAAAGTTCAACCAAAAAAGAAAAAAGTAATAAGTATATTTTAGGTGCAGGCTAAAAGCATAGACTGGTGGGGTATATTTGTACTGATCCTTCTGATTGAAAACAATAGACCTTCAGCACTCTCTGCTGACATGAAATGGCCACAATGTTCCTGCAGCCTGTAGATTTTAATAAGTGGTCCGCTGCCTCGCCAGCACTTACCAAAATACTTTGAAGAACGTTGAGCAGGTCATTCATCGTTGTCAGGTGAGAAACGTCTTGAAATGCCGCCACAAACACTGTGGGTATGATGGCGCATGATCTGGTGAACAGCACCCGGTAGAATCGAGACCATTTCAGGTTCAGGAAGCCCTAGAAGAATGAAAAGGTCAATATTAGTGAATTGCAACAGAAGCAATAAACTTTCATTACTGCATTGCTCTTGTTTTTTTTTTGCTGAGGGCTTGTTCACATATTGGCATCTCATCACATTATGTAATATTGGGGAAAGGGGAGGGGCATAGGAGAGACAGTGGCGTCCTTTAGCATCCAAGGTGAAAAGGCCGGAGTCTGCCCCCTGTCCAATGAGCTGTACACTACCGGAGCAGCGTAGGTCAAAGGTTCTGTCCTTTTTGTGCCCCCCTTCTGCTGAAGCACCCAAGATGACTGCCTCTTCTGCCTACCCCTCGGCCCGGCCCCTGGCATAGGGCACACTGCTGAGAACTGCGGTATGGTGTGCTTTCCTCTGCACGTCGCATCTGATTGTACTGACAACACTGAACTGCACCTGGAAATGTTAGTTTCCTGGTTGTCTCTGCCCTCAGTACTCCTAAGTAAGACCCCTTTCACATGGGCGCTATCAGTTCTCATCAGCAGGGGATGCATGCACAGATCTCCTGCTGACTGGAGCAGTTCAGAACGCATGTCACCCATGTCACCGATCATGACAAAATGTGCCCACTGGTGTGAATGGGCCTTATGGCAACAAGCATTTGTACATAACGTCAGCCGTGGCAGTCTTAGCTGAAGCTTAACTCTATGTAGATATAAAAGACACAAATTAAAGCAACTCTGTTATCGTTAATACACAGTGTAAGAACCGAGAGAGTTCATTAGGGACTGCAGCAAGTCTATCTGAGCCCGCCCCATTTCCTGGCTAGAGGATGTCCAGCATCGTCTAACCCTTTCCTCCCCGGCTCGACTGCCCCTGATCTGCCCCTTTCATTCATTGGATTTCGGTTCTTCTAACTATAGAGGCTCAGCCTAGGGCAATCTGTATGCAAATACAGCCTGCCAAGTAACGCCCACTCTTCCACACTGACTCCACCCATCAATGCATTTTGATATTTGCATAACTCCTCCCAAGGTCCAGCCCACTGCTTGCATCAGGGCTGAGGGCTCTTGAGAGCAGTATTGAGGCAGGGTGCTATGTTATTTTCTGGAAGCGATGTACAGCACCCTGCCAGCCACTCACACCAGCCATGATCTGCCTGCATTGCACAAAGAAGCACAGAGACCCAGGGGTGACATCTCTGGGTATAAAATATACAAAGTAATGAAAACAGAAAGGTTTTATTTAACATTTCATTAGCCTAATAATGAAGGAGGAACAATATATATGAAGATTAAACTTCAGCTTTAAACCCAAAGACTCACCTCCATCACAAACTGTCCGGCATATGTTCCTGTCATGGTGGAGCTCTGCCCAGCAGCCAAGATGCCGACAGCCCAGATGTAGAGGGCAGCGGGCCCGAAGAAGCAGCCCAGGATAATACCCTGGTGGAGGACAGAAGCATGAAAGGTTTGGTACATGAACTGTAATTAAAGTGCAACTCCATCTTCCGATAATGTTAACATGGAACCCCAGCTAATCCTTTTTAGTTTTAGACAGAGCAGAGAAGTTCTCCACCAGGCATTTTTATTGTTGCTTGTTTTACCACTAGGGGCAATTCCCTTCACTTCCCGTGTGACCACTGGGACTGGAAGTGGAGGCAAATCACCCCCTTTCCCCAACTGGGTACACAGACAGAGATAAACCTGAAAAAGAAACCAGCCTTTCCCACTCTATCCAAAACGAAGCAAAAAAAGTGACTCCTAATATTACATTAAAGAGAACCTGTCATCACTAAAGCGATATCACATGGGGGGCTGGTATACCACCTCATGTGATAGAAATAAAGTTAATTTTAAAAATAAAGTAAATTTACACGCACATACTAACGCAAAACAGCGCCAGGTGTACGTACGTGCCAAAACAAGAACTGGGCCACTCATGTTAGGTATCGCCGCATGCGCCAAAGTCAGAGCAATAATTCTAGGTGCAATATTCAGGGTTAACTCTAAACTGATGACCTGTTCAGGATTATAAAATGTCGCCTATGGATAAGATTAGCATATTGAGTTATCTATTCACGCGGCATAACCCCATCTTTTATCATTTACAAAATAAGAATTTGTATTATATGTTTGATATGTATTATTATTATTATTATAATACAGGATTTATACAGCGCCAACAGTTTGCGCAGCGCTTTACAATATAGGGCAGACATTACAATCACAATACAATTCAAGACAAGATGGTAAGGAGGGCCCTGCCCCTGAGGGCTTACAATCTAAAAGGGAGGGGCCAGTGATACATGAGGAGGTAGCTGTGTGGGGATGAGTTGTTTGAGGACGTGATGGTTGAGCGGTTAGGTTGAGGTGGGATCGGCTTCCCTGAAGAGATGAGTCTTTAGGGATCGCCTAAAGGCAGTCAAGGTGGGCGACAGATGGACAGGTTGGGGTAAAGAATTCCAGAGGATGGGAGAGACTCTAGAGAAGTCCTGGAGGCGAGCATGGGAGGAGTTGACAAGGGAGCTGGAAACCAGGAGGTCTTGGGAGGAGCGGAGGGGACGGTTAGGGTGATACTTTGAGACCAGGTTTGAGATATAGCCGGGGGCAGAGTTGGACGGCTTTGTAAGTGATTGTTAATATTTTGAATTTTATCCTTTGGGCTATTGGAAGCCAGTGCAGGGATTGGCAGAGGGGGGGCGGGGAGGGGGGGTGATGGAAGCCATTGCAGGGATTGGCAGAGGGGGTATGATGTATAAGTATTATACTGTGTTTGTGCACACTACAATTAACTTAAATGCATTCTTACTGGAATTTTGGGTTTAATAAAGAGTTTCACTAATATCATGCGACATAACGATTTGTAACTGTCACCATTTTATTCTGCAGGGTCTCTGCTTTCAGGAAATATATAATTCTGGGGAAAAGGGGTTTTAAGTAATTCTTGGGCCCAAAATGTGAATTATAACATGTGTGCAAAAAAACCCCGCAAAAACGGCTCTGGCAGCAAAAGGGTTAAAGGGTTCCTGCGGTCGACATTCTGAAGAAAGATGCATGTTACCTCTGACCAGAAACATCGTTATTTGGCGTTCATATTACCTGCGGAGGGAGAAGTGTCATGTTCAGTACGTGGCTCTCTTACCCCACTGTAGATGTCCACGTCCAAGGAATCGTTGGTGGGAGGGAAGAAATCAGCGTGGGGGCTGCTGCTATGATTACATTCATTGAACTGAAACACAGACAAGAGAAGCTACTAATTCCATACACAATAGACTTGTGCGCCGTCAGAAAATTCGTTTCGGAATATCAGTTATTTCGTATTTCGTAATTCGTGTCCGAAACTCAATTCCGATTCGTACGAAATACGAATTTGTCACATTTTCGTAACTTTACGAACATTCGTTATGATGAAGTTAAAAAGCAAAAATACCTTTGTTAATATTGGAGTCGATGGTAGTTTTTTTTTTTAAATACGAAATTCCGTTAACGGATTTCCGATCCGAATTTCGTATATCGGATAAAAAAAAAAAACTATCATCAACTACAATATATTAACAAAGGTATTTTTGCTTTTTAACTTCATCATAACGAATGTTCGTAACGGAACGAAAATACGTTAACGGAATTTCGTATTTCCTGCCTGTGTATTGTAATGCAACTCTCAGCAGCAGAAGAGAAAACCTCTGATTGGTCAACCAAACGAAATACGAAATTCCGTTAACGGTTTTCGGATCCGAATTTCGTATTTCGGATTAAAACAAAATCTTGTCATGTTGTTCAACCTCATTTACAGGGGTAATATTAGTTCCCGTTTCAACGAAATTCGGATCCAAAATTCGTTAACGGAATTTCGTATTTCGGATATAATTCGAAAAGTGCAATTCGGATTTCGGATGCTTCCGAATTTACGAATTTCAGGAAATTCGTACGAATTTCGATTCGTAACGAAACTAATCGCACATGTCTAATACACAAGTCAAATCTTCAACGTGATGTCAGAGAAGGAAGAACAATACATCTCCATTCTGATGTTTTCGCATCAAATTCTCCGAGACATCATCTGGCAGTTTAAGAGTAGGTCTTCATATCGTCTTTATTATATAAAATGACAGCAGCAATATACATTCTCATGACAGTTTTTTGATTTTCCGAGTGAATATTTTCTGATATATAGAATTCCCCGCTAATTCTTAACAACAATAGAACAGATTGTTCTATTCCCGAAGGAGAAGTGTTATACACCAAATAAAGAAAACATTGTGTCCACTTTATGTGACTGTTACAGAAGAATAGAAAATTACAATATATATTGCGAATTAAACAAACATGTATATCCCGCAAAGAGAAAGTTCCACTGCACCGCAATACAAATGACTATTATTAGGAAACACATGTATAGGAACATCTAAAACCACCTAAAAACAATACATGTGCCACCCAAAAATCCAAGATGGTATTATCATTTTAAAGAGGTGTACCCCTCCCTTAATTAAAGGAGAACTATGAGATGAGTGATTTCCACTCACCTCATAGTTCTAGCCGACCTGTGACAATGAGACTGTCACAGGTCGGCTCAGTAGATCGGGAGGTGAGCGAACATATGCCGGCGTTTGCTCACCTCTCGATCCTGTCATGGCTCTCTGTCGTGACAGGGGAGGGGCTGGATTCCCCCCTCCCCGCTCCGATCCACTAGCGCTGACTGGCGGAACTGACGGGGGAGGGGGCGGGTACAGCTGGCTCTGCCTCTAGATAGGCAGAGCCTGATGTCAGTCACTTCAGCTGCGGCGTCTCAGTATATAGGGAGCTGTAGCTCGCGGTATACTGAGCTTAGGGTAACGGGAGGACGCTAGTTTGTGTCCTCCCGTTACCCTAAGGAGAACTATGGGGAAAAGCCCTGACCCCATAGTTCTCCTTTAAACGGATACATATAGAGTTTCAATTTACTGGCCACAGCAAGGCATCTATGTGACTTCTACCTATGCACAAGTTGTGTGGTTGAAATTGTCTTTGGAGGATATACATAAATGTTTCATTTGGAATATACTGTATATTGTATTTTTTATAGACTTAACTAGAAACCTCAGGGCCCTGGTGCAAGAAACTATGAAGGGCCCTGAGCCCTTACCCCCCACCTTTCCAATAAATAATTGTTGCAAACGGCTGCTGTTGCTGGCGTAACTAAACCTATTGTTACCAAAATGTATCCTGCAATTACCGTAAAGCATGTTCCCATCACTGGCGGAACTACCAGGGTCGCAGAGGTTGTATGTGCATATTTAGGCATCTTAAATATAGTGCTCATTCTTAAAACGGATGTTCCTCGCTCTCCTTCTCTGCTTTCCACCGACCCTCAAAATGGGTCCTGGGCATGCAGGAGGGACACCGGAGCCCAGAAAGCAAGTCGGTGGTGTCGGGCAGAGGGGGCGTAGTAAACTGGCCCCTGGAAGTGATCTGGTGGCAGCAGGGCCGGTGCTAGGATTTTTGCCTACACAGGCAAAGTTGCATTTTTGTGCCCCCCCCCTCCCCGACCCCCTGTAGCGCTGAGCCTGCTCCCTATCAGCATGTTTTTTTCCCTTCACTTACCTTCGGTGCGGGAGAGCAGCGGCGAGTCAGCGCTGGTCCGGTGGGAGGAGCTCCAGGTGGGGTCCTAATTTAGCTGGCCGGCGACTGCCAGAGGTGCCGCGCGTGTCGAGATCCTCTGGCATTCGCCAGCCAGCTAAATTAGGACCCCACCTGGAGCTCCTCCCACCGGACCAGCGCTGACTCGC